TTGAAACCAAACCTGAACAAAATAAACTACGAAATCTGCACAAATATTCTTAAATGCCTATAATTGATAACAGAAGCCATTGGTTTATACCAACGGCTTCCCATACTTAATAATTCTCGTTTTCACTCTCGCGTGGTCATGTGTGATGTCACGAGCAGCCACGCGATTTTCGATTCCGCGTCTCGTATACACGTGTTTGTCGTTGCTTTGAAATTTTCCATGCAAACAAAAACAGACTATCATTATTGTTTTGTCCGTGTATTGTTTAATATATTGAAAAGCAATTGTCATCTTTGATAATGGCTTATGTAAGCCGAAAGCTTAGATTGGATTTAAACATGTATCAATATGGTGATTTTCTTTCGTCTTTCAATGATAATTTTATTAAGCTTATCAGACAATATGAAAGGAACTTACTTGAAATAAATAGACAAAACCTGTCTATATTATTTGATGAAACATGCATTAATATATATATGTGTGTGTGTGTATGTGTGCGCGTGCGTGTGTGTGTGTCTGTGTATATGTGTCTGTGTGTGTGTGTCCGTGTGTGTGTAAATTATTTTTGGATAGAGTGTATCTGTAATGGAACAATGTGATAAAAGAGAAGAAAAAAACTATTCTTAGCCGATTAGTTTCGCCCTCTGAAACGCCTTCAAAGCAATAAGATACTCGCTTTTGTATACAAACACATGCAACAAAATAAATCTTACATTGGCTTGCAAAACTCCCTCAGAGGACAAAACGCATCGGCTAAGAATAGTTTTCCCTCTTGCTTGTTTTATTCACCCCCACATATATATATATATATATATATATATATATATATATATGCTGAAAATCTCATGATCCTACATCAAAAATAGTATTTCAAAGATTTTACAAAGAGTACGCGTTATCATTAAATATACAATTAATCCTTATATTATCATTAGCAATGATTTTAGTTAGTTTGCCACAAGGCCTCAATTATGGAGCACCAGTGAAGTTCGGCGTCACTTATGAGTTGTTATATCCTACTGTAATAGCTCGTTAACCATTACCTGAAGTCAAGGCGCTGGCGCTTGAGTTTATGTCGCCCGAAACTCGTTCGACTAAGTGGAAAAGGCCATTGTCACTGGATAAAATCTTGTTCGGCTGAACGCGTGTGCCGTTTTCGTGTTATTGTAAGGGCCGTTTCAGAGGTGGCAACATTTTGTGGATTAGTCACCTTGCATTCCACATACCCATCACACCTAATGTACTCTAGCCCTACCTGACCCTAACTTCCACCCTCGACACTCTCGCTCTTCTCATCGGTGCACCCATGAAAAGCCAAGTCGAAGGCAGCAAACGGTTTTAAAGAGGCACACTGCTTTTTCTCGCCAGCAGCCACTTATTAACACCCTTGGCTCGCTGAATGACGAGGGCCTCTTCTACTCTCCGCTCACGACCTCCCTTAGAACTGAAAAAGGAAAAACGGGAGAACGGGAAGTAATGATAACAACTACTGAAAGAAAGCGAAATATATAGGTCAGTACAACAGACAAATTGTCAGAATACACGACCCAGTCGCACATCTCGGCAGACAGTGTAAAGTTGCGTATTAAAATCAGGTGAGTGCTTTGTGCATTGTGACGTTTGCCATTGTTGGAGCAGCTTTTCTGTGTGAGGGAAAAAATTTGTCTTTACTGATGGCGAACAGATACCTTCATAATAAGAATGAGATATCTCGTTACATTATCGAAAATAAATATATAAACTTCATTTTATTTCCAGCAGTGTCTCTCTGTCACTATTTTTTTTATTTCTTCATATATATGCATAAAAAACTAATTTTTACTACGTTACTTAAAAATCGAAAGCTAAAAATAAATATTTTGTGATGTACGGTGGCCGTTAATGATTAACTGTATAACTCAAGACTTCTGTGTTAAGATAAAACCGCAACCGCAAATAAATACTTAACAAGAACAAAGATGTAAAAATCAAGCAAAGATAATTAACTATTTCAGTGAATATCTTGTTAGTAGCGCGGTTCAGCTTAACGTACGCTAAATCCAAAATCAGAACCCAAATCATCGACACAAAATAATTCACACTAATTCGACTGGATAATTCCACTCAATAATTACGGCAGCCAGTAGCCTGACACTGATATTAATGGCGGAAGACAAATATTCTTAAATTCAGAGTGTCACGCTCGAACCTCGGTGTCGGTCGTTATTCATTTTCTTCCTATATGACAAATACGAGAAAAAAAAGAAGCAAACTAAACAAAAAACAAAAAATTCAATAAATAAGTAAAAAAGTAAGTAAATAATAAACAAATTAATAATTTACGAATGTACACATAAACATGAGTAAATTTAATAATAATGATCAACAACAAATAATAAACTAATAAATAATGAATAAAAAATGCCTATAAAATAGCAACAAATCATTCAGATTCACAAACATTTTTACTTAACAGCCTCTATAATAATTTGGAACATAATTGTAGCCGCCCACCCAAAAACTGTTAAGATAATAAAATAGACTCTCTAATCATAAGGCGTCATATATAAATAGTCGAGTCAAAACACAACACACATGGCCTGAAGATTGCGTTTAAACATGAAGAGCCTCACCCACTTTTATATGCTATATTTATATACGCTCTATCCCTAATATTGAACAGTTTTACCCTTTAAATATAGCATGCCATAAAAACTATAGTTTTATCATATATATATATATATATATATATATATATATATATATATATATATATATAGGCACTCTACAAAAATCCCAAATGTTCACATGAGTAGCAGAATACCTGCCAAAAATCACAAAAAGTGAAAACAGAACTTTACTAATAACAGAGAAAGGTGTTTTTTTTTTTGCCTCACCAAATCTGAGTTTAATACACAATGCAATCTTCAGGTGCTTTGTTAAGACTTACCCTCCACACCTGAAAATTGCGTTGTGCATGAAACTCATAGTCGTGCTACTGGTGAAGAAAAATCTATATTATATATACATAATGCATAGCTATGTTATTTTTCACCGAGAACTATTTTATTAACACCAACACTCAATGTACGCTATGATGTATGTGCGTGTGTATATATACATGTGTGTGTGTGTGTTCACTTATGACCTTCTCTACTCTGGATTTCGTTGTGTGAACCCCACTCTTCAGGGGATTTGATGGTAAATTGGATGTGGCAAGAAAATGAATTTATTTTATTTACTATTCATATTGAACATTATAGATATAAAGGCATGATTATTTCTTGCCTTAAGAACTTTAACTTTTATCCACTCTGCAGGTTTCATGTTTTAATACACGGTTTAAAAATCATTCATCCATTAATTCTCCGTCCTGTTTGTTGTTCTTCTTCATGTGAAACATCCGTCAAATTTCATAATAGAATTCGAACCTGAATTTTACTGGTAAATTGACCTAAGGAAATATAAACCTTAATATACACCACATGTTCACAAACCTATAAAGAGGACCCAAACAAGCTTGTCATAAAATCACATTTCTTTAAAATCCATTTTATTCAAATATTAATAAGTTTAATTCGTCAGAATTAATATAGCTTTGAATTTCATGAGAAAATCTAGTTGAGAGTTTTTCGTTTCTTCTTGAATCATAGCTCTAAGTTTGCCTTGAACATAATCTGGTACTCACCATGTTGCCATCACTTCACCAATAATTACAATGCAAGAAATCAGGCCACTTTTGCATTGACGTTTCAAACTATCTGTATATTTTAATTTTCACGAATGTCCATCAAACATTTATTGTTTATGATTGGCCTGTCAAGTAATAAAAATATATCATTTTATGTATTCCGCTGCTCAACTTTTTTCTCGTTTTTCTTTATGGATGGATCTTAAATAAAACCTAATGATCAGTCTTTAATGTTTTTCAACTTGAATTAGGTAAAGTCATTGTTGTTTTAATAATTTCCTTGCAATACATCGCCTAAATATCTCAAAGCTTAACAAAAAGCTGTTCTTATTTAATAGACCAGCCAGATAAATTCTTCCGTTTAACAGCCTTGCATCGGAGTCATTCAGGAGCTTCAAACCAAATTTGCTCATTTTACAGTGTCGTTTTATATTTTGCAAGTTTTGAAGTAAGTAAACATTTTTTAAAGTCTTCCGACTCATTTTAAATCTTTAACCTTACAACACTGATATTAATTCGAAATTTCCATGCATATCTCAATAAATTTGAATAATCTAATAAGGTGATATACAAAATAATGTTTGGTATAAATTGCACTGTTTCAAAAAATTAAAATGTCGGGATGTCAAATCAGGCATATATACTAACTAAACTTAACGTTTATATATATATGCATACATGCATACATACACACACACATATATATATATATATATATATATATATATATATATATATATATATATATATATATATATATATGCATATATATATATATATGAACATAAATATATATATATATATATATATAGATATATATATATATGCATATATATAAAAACGTTAAGTTTAGTGAACCTGAAAGATTTAACATCCTGACATTTTAATTTTTTTGAAACAGTTTTATCCGTTACACCACCCGCACATCCAAGCTTACAGCACCTGAAATTCCCTAGGTATCACCCAACTTGGTATTGACCAAGCTCGACGTTGCTTAATTTCTGATCGTACGGGAACCAGTATTTCAACCTGATGTAAGCGCAAACTCTTAAATATATATATATATATATATATATATATATATATATATATATATATATATATATATAATTCCTTTTGCTTAGTTTGGTACAAGGATAATTACGTTGGCTTCTCAGTACCTTTTTTTTTTTTTTAAATAACGGTAAAACAAAGTAACGAACAATTTATCCATTTTGAGGCGATTATATACATTGCTACTTTTCGTTAAATATATTTACTGAGTGATACGAAATAAACGTGATCATGTAAAATCTTGTTTTTGTGGAAAGTGCAAATTTTTATGCCAAACAACCAGGAAAATTCCCTACAACTGGAAACGAGGGAACCAGACTGATAGGTAAATCTGAATAGTTTAGATAGATAGATAGATAGATAGATAGATAGATAGATAGATAGATAGATAGATAGATAGAAGGCACGGATACATAGATAGATAGATAGATAGATAGATAGATAGATAGATAGATAGATAGATAGATAGATAGATAGAAGGCACGGATACATAGATAGATAGATAGATAGATAGATAGATAGATAGATAGATAGATAGACAGACGGAAGGCACGAATAATTAGATAGATAGATAGATAGATAGATAGATAGATAGATAGATAGATAGATAGATAGATAGATAGATAGATAGATCCGAACAGGTTAGAAGTATAGATCTGAACAGTGTGAGATAGATAAATAGAAAGAAAGAAAGCGGGCATAGATAGATAGATAGATAGATAGATAGATAGATATAGATAGAAAGAAAGAAAGAAAGAAAGAAAGAAAGAAAGAAAGAAAGAAAGTGGGCATAGATAGATAGATAGATAGATAGATAGATAGATAGATAGATAGATAGATAGATCCGAACAGTTTGAAGTATAGATCTGAACAGCGTGAGATAGATAAATAGAAAGAAAGAAAGCGGACATAGATAGATAGATAGATAGATAGATATACAAATAAATAAATAATCCAGTCAACAAAATAAATATGTTGATAATATTTTGCTGAATCTAATAAAACGTTAAAACGTGATCTGTTTGTTCGAATAGCACAGTCAATTATTTTCACAGAAATATAGGATAGAAATTGAAATTTAGAACTCGGAAAATTCTTAATGCAAACAATATACGATTAAATAAATGTCGATTTTTGTTTTAGAGCTAATCTATTTTGCCTTTATTGATACATATCTTACATTTTGTGCGTACTTTTTTTCTTCTGAGGAAAAGCCGCCTCTATAAGCAATTAAGAAGAGATTGCACTATGTTTATAAGGCGAAAATAAATTCAAACATTCTTAATACCATATACAATACGGAACAGAACTAAAGTACCATGACAAAGGCTTTAGTAAACAGACGGCTCCACGACGGGGCGAAATTCAAAAAAGAATACAAAGAATAAAAGCAAAAGAGGATATGTATATATAGTACAGAAAATGGTGGATAATTCTGCAAGACTCCAAATCAAGGGATGTTAATGCTTATGCCACCATATTTTATATAATATGAAGGCCTCTTCGATATATTTTTCAAGTTTTTCTTATTTCTTGTTTATAAGTCCTGGAAACAATTCTGAAAGCAGAAAAAATTATTTCCTTATGAACAGATATAAGAGATCATCAAATTGTGTTATATCCTCGGAAAAATGTTATTTACTGTGTTTAATATGACCTTTACTTATGTTCACCATATTTAACAGAGCTTCGTTTCAGGGCCAGTTTTAGCAATTTTCACACAATAATTCATGTTAGCAGGTTGAACCCGACTCTTTTCATTAATTTCTTGCCAACCGTATAACATGACCATATGCAATTTTCTCTACTGCTCGTCGGTGAATGACTCCTCTGCTTGGTGTCTCAAGAAAGCAAAAATTATTCAGATCTGTTTACTATTTTATAAGACTAACACATTTCGCAAGCCAGGATAATTAGTTCGCTGTGAACGGATAGAAAAGAACGTCGTTTCATATTTAAATACATCTTTTGCTCTTTTTGTTCGACATAAAAAATAAATTTTGGAAAAAGATAGTCAATTGGGATTAAAAATAAATTTATTACAAGAATTGAAATATTCAAGGAACCAACATAAGAACTTCATTATTATTTGCTCAGAGAAAAAAAATGTCATTTTCTGTGTTATGTAAATATTTTATAATTAATAAGACAATTTGACAAAATGTTACTTCTCAAATGTACAGGAAACAGTTGGCTCGTTTGAACTCAGATCGATTCTTTTCTTAGAGTGGTTGCCAACCAAACCTGGAGAATTCAGCATCACGATTTCCATTGTATTAACCTCTAACTGTGAGATGAAAAAAAAGTATTCGTACTATTCCAAGGCTATTTATGCAAAAGTGAAAGCATCAGTCGAATTTCAACTCGACACGCGAGTCTTTAAATTAAACTTTATTAGAGAAATCACTATTTTCACATTAGTATTTTCTGTCTGTATATGTTTCTCTTTCGATATGACTTTTCATATCAAAACTTACCAGAAATGTTGAAAAATTACTTAGAGAGCAATTTATGATACCCAAAAATGTTTTGGCAAAATTATATTCTTTACTTTTGACTGTCAACCAGTCTTAAAGAAGTGAAGTGAATAGGAAGGATGTAATCCTAATCAAGTTAAACTTTAAAATAATGTAGGTTCCACCTGAGTGTGTGATCACAATTAGACCTGTAAAGACCAGTTCACAAGACAAGTGTGATGTTACTCACATATGTATTATAGCATGCGGAAAGAATTTCATTGCATCCGAGGTATATATATATATATATATATATATATATATATATATATATATATATATATATATATATATAACTAAAACAAAAGAAAAACTTATCTTAACCAAAGCGTTTCGTCATCTGAGGGAAAATATGTCGGCTAAGATAAGTTTTCTTTATGTCTTTATTCATATTGATATTTTCCTTTTACAGACATACTATCTCTGAAATTCTTATATACATATATATATATATATATATATATATATATATGGGGGGGTTGTGTATTTGTGTGTAGCTTTATAGGAAAAAGATGTCAGGATACAATTTGTATGACTTTTTCTTTATATATGCGTGTGACTTCATTAAGAATTTTGAAATTTTAAATATCGAACCTGAAAAAGATATGGTACCTTTAAATGACTGCTAGACTTATAGCAATTGCAATACTGAACACGATTTAAAAATACAGAGCAAAGCATCAATATAAGTACTGGCATGCCTTTTTCACAAAAATGTGTTGCAAAAAAAACAAAAAAGAAACAAAAAACAATCTGTACTCAAAAGATGATTGTCAGTGTAAAGAAAATATATACACTGCACATGTTAGGTAGCACCTAACATCACGATTTCCCGTAAATTTACAACATTGCCCTATTACTGATCTAAAATGGAATGTAGTAAATACAATATAATAATAATAATAATAATAATAATAATAATAATAACTGTGTACTCGCATGTAGCAGTACATCTTGGAAAAGCTCATGTACCGAAGAAAGTGTTGTGTCTATAAAATACGAAGCTGACATATATGAGAATAGTCACCTGATTGAAACATCTAAGAGTTGGAAATGTTATATAATAATATTATTACTACTACTGCTGCTATTACTACTACTACTACTAATAATAATAATAGTAATAATATTAATAATAATAATTATGATAATAATATCCAAGTATATACACGGCTAATTATTGTTTATCTCTCTGTCTCATATATATATATATATATATATATAGAGAGAGAGAGAGAGAGAGAGAGAGAGAAAGATAGATAGATAGATGTAGAGATAGACAGTTATATGCGTCTGTAAATATTATTACTAATAAATGTATATAAATACATATGTTTGTGTATGATTAAGTGTGCCTTTATCTATATCTACTTTATTACTTAATATGTTTTACTGTATATTTCTCTGTATACACACACACATGCACACACACACACACACACACACACACACACACACACATATATATATATATATATATATATATATATATATGTGTGTGTGTGTGTGTGTGTGTGTGTGTATGTGTATTATATTTTCTTTCTCTTATTTTTTAGACACATCCCTGTTATATGCGTGTGGATAGATAGATAGATAGATAGATAGATAGATAGATAGATAGATAGATAGATAGATAGATTTATTTATTTTCTTTAGAAAACTTGACCCTTTCCTCTTTTGCAGTTCTTTCTCAATGATATAAAGCGTACTGACTTCGCGCAACACTGAATCCTTATCGCTACTTCAATCTTCTGTCTTCCCCACTGCATGGGTAAATACAACACACTCATCTTGTTTGCATTAATACATAACAATTCTTGTTTATAAGAAATGATATTATTTTCATTTCCCTCAAGAACTCTCATCTTATCCTGATTCAGCTTGAAAGCTGTTTGCATTTGAATCAAATCAAGAATAAATTTTAAAACCTGAAATTATAAATTTCAGATCCACGTTGACTTATTTGCAAATAATATAGAAACTGTAAGATAGATAAGAATAAGTTTAAGTTTGAATAACTCTGAGTTGGAATTAGCATAATAAATAGAAGACGTTATGACAAAATGTTTCTTCCTATCTTTCATAGATTTTATATGCACAAGTTGCTTGAGTAATTGGATATATATATATTTATTCACGATACGCAATAATTATTAATTCATTGCTTAAATCGCATTGGAACTGTTACTTGAGATTTAATATTTATAAAGTTTATAAGTCAATAAAAATCTATCTGTTTTGGACATGGAAAAATAGGACGTAGAAAATAGATAAACTTTTTATATGTAAACATTGTTTAATATGAATATAAATTCTTGATTTTATAATAAAGAGTACAAGTTATATTAAATCAACTTTAGTTTTTTACAAATTACTTAAAAGAGACCCATATCTGCCTCTCGTTTTGTTATGTGTTTTTTTTTATGATTGATCTTGACCTGGCATCTCGGCTTCAGTCTCTATGGCTTTACTATAAATATTTTCATGGTAACTGTTCTGATGAAATTTTCCGCTAAGATTTTATGAATTTATGGACAGTACTGGATTGGCAACAGTGTATTATCAATTTACTGTTGAATTTCAACCGTATGTCCTATGCTAAGAGTTTCTTCACTCGGACTTTCCGCTTGTGGAATGCTCGTCAGATTACATATTTTCCGTCCAACTTTGATCGTCAAAAATTTAAATTCAATATCAATCATTATCTTCTCTCTTTTTGATTACTGTTCTTTTATTGTTCTCACTCCTTAATAATGTTTCTTTCTTCTTATTCTCTCACACTTAGTAAACCATTGTGTCTTAGTGGCTTTATTGCCTTGTTTTTTGGCGAAATAAAATAGGATATTATTTTAAATATAAAAGCAGTGTGTGTATAGTGATTGACTACTTCACGCCATAAGCGATCCTCAGAAAAACCATTAAATCATAACAGACTGATCAGAGGGAGTTTATGTTTCAACATTATATATATATATATATATATATATATATATATATATATATATATATATATATATATATATATCACTTATATGTATATAAGTTTGATTTGGGTTTCACGTTTTACAATCATCAGACAACCTGGTTTATTTAGAAAATAAAAATAAGAAAAAACAGTTTGTCTGATGATCGCAAAAGCGTGAAACCCAGGGTCACAAATTAATATCCATACAACTGAATGTGTTAGCTCTATCACTGATATTGAGCACTTTCCAATAAGTACCGCGTATATATATATATATATATATATATATATATATATATATATATATATATATATAGTGTTTGTGGTAGTTAGAATTCCGTTGTCTAAATCATTGAATTCTAACTACTACAAAAGACATCACATCGGTTCTTGAAAATAACTGCGATGGTCGAAAGTACTTGAAGAAAACAATAAAATATGAACTTCGCACAGTTTATCACCAACTTCGAACGCAATACTCAACACCTTATTTTTTTTATAAAACATGTATGTGTGTGTGTGTGTGTGTGTGTTTGTATTATCTAGACTAAGGAAACTCCGTTGTCAAAGCCAGAATAAAAAGTGAATATAATTTACTCAGACAGAGGTGCACTGAAATTAGGATTATTTTTGTTTCCCCACAGGCTATTTCAACCTATTTACAGTTCTTACTAAATCAGTATTTGGAAAAATGTATGTCACCAAAAACCTTACTTAAATAAGGAAAAAATAGAAATAAAAACTATTATTTAAAATCTAATTTCACTAAATATAGAGTTTAATCGAATATCAAACGTTTAGACGATTGACGTGATTCATGATTTATCACGTACGAGTTGATTTGGTTTGCTGTGAAAAAGAAAAAAAAAAGAATTTCTGATGACACTGGGGTCATCGGCGAAAGATGACAATTGGTAGTTTTCCAAATTGTATTACATATTTACCCGTCTGTCGCATTCTCATCAGATTTCACACACACACACACACACACACACACACACACACACACACACACACACACACACACACACACACACACACACACAAACGCGCGGGCGCTCACAGGCAGGCAATTATAATGCTTAAAATTCGCTATATTTTTGGAAGAGGGAATGTTTGTAAATAGTGAGAAGGTGGACGTGTTGAAAGATCGCTTCAAGCATGAAACTGAGTATTGAATTATATGTAGATATGTTCCCTCTACCTCTATCTCTCTCTCTCTCTCTCTCTCTCTCTCTCTATATATATATATATATATATATATATATATATATATATATATATATATATATATAAGGGTGCATGTAGGCGTGTGTGTGGGGTGTGTGGGTTTTGTGTCTGTGTCTCTGTGTGTGTGTGTGTGCGCGCGCGTGTGTGGGTGTGGGGGGACGCGTGTGTTTGTGGGGGCGTGAGTGTGTGTGTCTGTGTGGGCGTGAGTGTGTGTGTCTGTGTGGGCGTGTGTGTGTATGTTTGTGTGTGGGGGCTTGTGTGTGTGTGTGTGTGTGAAAGTGTGCGTGTGTGTATGTCTGTGTGTGAGCATGTGTGTGGGGAGGGAGAGTGATAGCGATGTCACGATCTTGGAATATTTTTATAAACGATAATATGTATTCTGTGTTATTAATTTGTCGAATGCATTTATATAAGGCATACATTTTCTACCGCACCTGTTAATGCGATTACTGTAAAATATGCATGTTAGATACTTCAACGAACAGAGGCATAATACGTACGTCGATTTATCCAGCTCCCTTTGTCAATAAGTGAAACTCTCTTTCGAGAAATCATTTACTCTAAATTTGAATAATTGATTTTTCCACATTTGCTGCATACAACTTTAGCTACACATTTCATAAACAAATTTAATAGCTGAGATTTGTTTTAATTTTGCTTTACTGTTTTCTTTATATCAAAGAAACGTTTTGTGTTCAAATTGGTTCAAATTTTGAATACTCTGTATTTTGCTGCCAAAGAGAATTTTGCGATATTTTTTATTCATATATTTGATATATTCTTTATAATCTTAAATATTGTGCTTGAATTGTAATAGTATTACGCATATTAATCAAATAAAGTACCCCTCCATTATACGTACGTCGATATTTCAAACTTCGATTATATATATATATATATATATATATGATACGAAGAGAAAAAGTGAAATCGTGAGAACATTATTGAATTATCCAAACTAAACCGTTCTCATATTTTATCTCAGACAAATATTTTGATAAAATAGCAAATCATACCCAGCATTGATAAATATTTAAGTTTCTTGCGCTTTGAAACTGAAGCTACCTTTATAAATACATCTACTTTAATCCAGTTTCGGGAATTGGAAGTAGAAAAACGCAAGGCCAATCGGAGAAAATATTGAACAAAGCATTGTAAAATGTTATTTGCTGATATAAATGTTATTTTTCTTTTTTTAGAAAGATTTTTTTTTTTTTTGATAATTTGGGTATTCAATTATCCGAAACATATATAAAATAGCTGGCCACTCGAATTCGAGGATAGCCGTTAGGGCGGTTAACCAATCCCTATTACAGACGCCCGCTCGGGCACATTTGTGTTTGCTCAGCAGCCACAGAATCCCCCTGTGGTTTATACTGCAGTTATGCTGAGCAGACCTTAGTTAAAATTTCCGAGAGAGAGAGAGAGAGCGTGTTATCTGGCGTTATTAACAATTTGAATAAGTCCAGCATGCTCAAGCCCTTGGCCACGATGACTTGTGACTTCGTCCGAGTACAGCTATCGAAGGACTCCACATTTTCACTCATAAGGCTTGGGTCACCCCGTTCAGGAACTTTCCAAACGTGCCGCACGCTGGGATCGACCTCGATCCTGTCCGATAACATCGTCCATGGTGAGATTCGAACCCGGGTCTCATGGCCAGAAAGCGAACATAATAACCACTCGGCTACGCACCTATACTAGAGTGAGTGAGTGAGTGGGTGAGTGAGTGAGTGTGTGTGTGTGTGTGTGTACACAAACAAATACCCCCCACACACACGCATTAATGTATATTTGGGCAGCAAACTTTCTTTTAAAAACCTTTCATTAACTACATTTAAACTAAATAAAAGAATGAATGAATAATGTATTAAATCCTCATTGTCTGCCATACTTAATGAAAGATATATCGGTTGTAACAGCAAACATGTCCAAATTGTGTAACAGCACACGATAATTGTCCACCTCACAAAATGTCTAATATCTAAAAAAAAAAAAAAAAAAAAGAGAAAAAAAACACTAAACTAATTTTCTTTTCTCCAGGTTTTCAGATAAGACATTTAGCCATCTTTACACCATTTATCATAAGAATCACTGAAAAACCTCTTGTTATTCGGTTATGAAGGGAATAGGTTAAAATCATTTTGTGTCAGCACCACTGTCTTCTCAACTGCGCAATGATGAGAGGAAAAAGATCATTCAGGCCTTCAGTAATGTTACCAATATTCATATACTAGCATCCATCTTCAAATTCCATTCAAGAACCATCAAGAAAACGGTGAATAAGTTTAAAAAAAGAAACAGTAGAGAGGAAAACTGGATCAGGAGGTCACAACAGCAAGAGGGATCATCATTTCAACTTAGAGCTAAATACTTATTATTCAAAGTAGAATCTAAAGTGTTTTTAAAAACCTCGGAGAATTCCAGTAAGACAATTTTGGTGTTACACAATTTGGACAATTTTGCTTTATATATTTATATATATATATATATA